CCAGTCCTAGTATTCTATGAATTCTGATTCAAGTCTTTCCAGTAATAAATATGCCCACTTACATGTATATTAAGCAAAGAATGAATGACTACGAATTACAATGAAATACTTGTTACAACCATAGCAGTTGTACTGAAAAACAAAAATGTAATTTTATACAGCAACATACATTTAAAATAAACTGTGTGAATCAAATAACTATAGTACTTGCCATCAGTTGGGAAAAAAAATGGGAATATGTCCTCTGCTGAACAAAGGCCTTTAAGTTTGCAGTGAGGTCAATCAAGACAAGATGAAGGCAATTGCACATATGATTGTCAATCAGAATGGAGCAATTATGTGATTTAATGATTGTTGAGAATACTGACTCAGATGTCAAGCTAAAACAGTCAAAATATTAAATGCCACCTTCCTTAAGTGGGGATGCAGGGATGGTCTACACAGTTTCAATGTCATTTCAGTGTGCTGCATCTTAAGTGCTTCATCTGCTTGTAATTCAGCAAGCTCCAGTTGTAGTATTCAACATCTAGAAAGGATGTTTGTGTTTAATCACACTAAGTGCCATTTGCTTGTACCACAAATGGGCTTACAAAAACAGGAAGAGGTCTTTAACACTTCCAATTTCTTGGAACCTATGCTGGACATATTGAAGAGGCTGGTCCAGAGATGTTGCCATCTGTTTCACATCTGCAGTGTCCCAGCAGCTTAGCAACATTGGGAGATGCAGCATCTCCCCAGTTTCCAAATCACTCTTGAAGAAATTACGTTAAAACAAAAAACAGCGACACTGCTGTGGAAATCCACTATATTTTTGTGACTTCTCCCCTGTAGCTTTAAGTTGAAATAATTTAAGTGGCCTATTAAAAAAAATCAACAAGGAAGACCAAGGTACTCATGCTTGTATCTCTTATGCTCTTCTCCCTTGAATATTACATCTTCCACATGAACTCGAATTTCCCACAGCTTTCTTAGTACTTTTTTGGTCAACTAGCAGTTGTCATCCTCAAACAAGTGAAAAGTTTTCTTTCAGAAGTGTCCATGTTGCAATGAGGAGTTAAGACTGAAGAAAGTTGACAAATTCAAATCGCCACTGATATTCATTTAAACATACCACTAAGCCTTCCACAAAGTGTGGTTTGATGGATTATGCAGTGATAGAAAAAAATCAAATTGAGTTCAGATCTTGCAGGCATTTTGAGCCGTCAGTGAGTATCAATCATGGCAGGAGCAACATATGTAGTAACTGACAATCTGAGTCACTTTCAAACATGACTTAGAACAGTTTGAACAGAATTAAACAAATCCTCACTCGTATGTCATAAGGAAGACCTCCTCCCTCCAAATTTCTCATTAAAATACAAACAAACAAAAAAAACCGAAAACAAAAAACCCCAACCAGTGCTAGGCTGTGCTGTGTCCCTGATATCTTAAGATTCATCCTTTGCCATGGCAAGTTTTCCAGTTTCTCTCAACTGCTTGAAAACATCCTATGCCATTATCTCAATGCACTTAACAGTTGTTGTGTCAACGTGGCAGTTGTCTGAAGGCATCAGTGTCTTTCATCTCTGCAAAACAGGGTTTTCAGCTGCAGTAGCCATACTCTGCAGAAGGATGCCTCACTAAAGGATGCAATCCAGCGTGATCCTAAACAGGAACCCGGGTCAAAATTCATATGCTTTGTTTCATAGAGCTGATTGCTGTTCCCACTTTTAACATCCAGTTTGTTTACAAATTAAATGGAAGGGTGGACCAACACTTAACTGTTTTAATTTCAGGGTTTTCAAACACAATGATGTACACGGAGACCTTAAGTGTCAAAAACACTGGAGGTGGGAGTATGTTGGCTCCCCTTTGCGCCTTCTGCAGTTCTTGAGGCTTCAGAGTGGTGAAGAGTCCCAAGTCCCAACACGACTCCAGAAAGGGCTGAAGCGGTGATTTGCAGCAGGACTGAAGGGAGGCAGGGAGGGAGAGGCAGAGGCTCAAGAGTAAAAAGGGAAGAAAATCTCAGAGCTGCCACAAGCCATTGAACTCTTCCCTCTCTCCTAACTCTTCCCTCTCTCCAGGAAAAGTGGCAGGTGCTGAGGGACAGAGAGCACCCATCGGCTTCCTGCAGCAGCCCTGATTGGGAGTAAGGAAAACAGCCAATCGGAAAAGGTTTCTCCAAGACAGGAAATAAGCAGCCTCAGCAGCATGGGTGGAATTGGACAGTCTCACTCTAGGGTCTGACACCCAGGGGTGCCCATTTAGATTTTCATTAGGGATGACAGGTAGCATCCCAGGGGCTACTTGGCTTTTGGCTGTCAACCCATGCAGCTGAGCTCCCATCGTCATAGCTTAAGTTCAGGTGCACCAGATTGATCTTTGATAAATGTTTGAGGAGCCTCCTGTCTCCCCCCTCCCTCCCCATGTCTCCCTGCCAGACTGAAGTGCTGATCCAAGAACCTCCAGTAGGGCTGAAACCCTAAGTCTCAGCATGCCTCTGCTTGGGCTCCAGCCCCAAAGCAAGCATGCTTGGACTCAGGGCTTCAGCCCACCAGGAACTGGTGCTTCAGTCCTGCAGGACGTGCTTTGGGACTGAATTACACCCCATGCAGGGCTGAAACCCGGACCAAAGTTATCTGCTGAAAAGGCTCTCAGTCTGGATTTGGGCTTTGGCCACCTACTGACTACCTCCTCCCTATACCACATCAAATTTGCTGATGTTCGCAAGGCAGGCTGAAAGTGAAAATGGTAGAAACAGTTTGCAAATTACCTGGAGCATGTTTAAGACTATTTCAAGACCAGATGCTTTGAGAACAGAGACCTAACACATAAGCATAAGTTCTTCCCCTCTGAGAGTTGGAATACAGGAAGTGTAAGAATAATTGGGTTATCAAATGTGCGTGATGCATAGGGCACAGACTAATGCCCCTTCCCCGAAATTCCCTGGCAACAAGCAGCGCTGGGCCCCAGCAAAGTTTTGCTCCCCTTACCTCAACTTGCTCGCAGGCTCAGTGGCATGATGCAAGTTCTTGTGGGTAGCAGACTGGCAGTGTTGAATTCCTCCTGCTTGCAATATCCTCAAAGTCCACAATGGGAGTTGATGAATCAGTGAAGTGTAGAGCTTTAAGAATAAGACGTGCCAATTATATTTTTAAAAGCTACTCCGAGAAGTGAATTTAATTTAGTTATATAAGCTATTAAATAAGGTTTATTCTATAGGTATTCCTAATCATTCACCAAAGTTACGTAAACACAATTGTGAATATGCCCCATTTAATAATGAGTCAGCATCTACTCAGGAGATCCAATACTCTGACCCAAGCTGCTCAATGGGACCTCTGCTTTCCCATACACAATATAAAGACACTTAAAAAAATTAATGGAGATTGCCTGTCTCCTAGAACTGGAAGGGACCTTGAAGGTCATCGAGTCCAGTCCCCTGCCTTCACAGCAGGACCAAGTAGCATCCCTGACAAATTTTTGCCCCAAATGGCCTCCACAAGGATTGAACTCACAACCATGGGTTTAGCAGGCCAATACTCAAACCACTGAGCAATCCCTCCCCCCACTCACTAGATGACACTGGTGAGTTATGTTTATAGCAGACCAATACAGAATGAAATTCAATAACCTGGCTTCAAATGCATTCTTGTTCCAGTGGCAAAATTGGCTGAAGATAAAGTGCAATGCTTGCTTCACCCGAAACCAACCTCAAAAGAAGTGTCAAACAAAATAGGTACCACTTCCCACAGAGGGGAAAGAAATACACCTTCTGAGGTAAAGACACTCAGACACCATGCATGAAGTATTAAAATGCAGACATATGCTTAGTAACACTAGATTAAGTTCTCGCTGTCCCCTTCAGAAAATGAAATGCCACATTCATGCAACTATAATGATCAGTTTCTGTAGAATAGAAGCTAACTATGAATTATTCACCGCTATGCCCCCCCCCCAAAAGCCACATTATAAAAAAATCCCAAAACTAATATTGTCTTACAGATACTCCAGTGTAGTTAGCCAACACTCCACTTTTCTTCTACCCCTAAAACTTCCCAAAGCCAGAGAGATGCAGGATCTGTTTTAGGAATAAAATCACTTGTAGATGAAAATCCTTGCTATATGGAAATTGGGTTATTGGTTGTGTAACTAGTTAACATTGCTAGTTGAAACTGAAATCCAACAACTTGGAAAAGAAGTTGCAGTACAGAAGTTTAAACTTGTAAAATCTTGATGGATTATATTTTTATCACATAGATGCAGAGAAGTTTACCAATATTTTAGAATGTTAAGTCTGTTTTGGAAATTCCTTTAAGACAATACCCATGAATTTTTGTGCGCATTCTGGTATGTGTTATTCTTTCACTGTTTACTACAGAACGTGCAGATTTCTTACTCAACATTTGTAACAAGAGTTAGTAATCCCTTCTGATTAAATCATGAAAATAATAGTGTATGTTAAAAACTTAGTGTTTTTAATTGGGAATTTTCAGGTCTTTTGTTCCTTACTCCAAATAGATCTCCATTACTGCACCTGATCCAAACTTGAAGGCTAGCTCAACCAAGCAACAAATAGTTTTCTTAGTAGTCAGACATCACCAGTAGTCAAACCAACTCCATACATTGGGTAAGTAAAGAAGCAGGCATGCACACACCTCTACTCCATTTACCCCTTACCTTGACTAAGGAGAAAAGCACTGTATTGGTTCCACTGATTGGCTGGCTCTGGAGGCAGAACACCACCAATTCTCCAACTCCATTATCCCAATTAATGGGAGTCCAGGTTACTCCCAAATCCAGGATTACTGTCACCAATTCTGACTAAAGTTACCACTTTCGTATATTATGTTTTGCTACAGATGTATTACTTAATCAAAAATCATTGTAATTGAATGCCAAGTAAAGGAAACTTGAGTTTTATTTAAGCTTCCAATTTCTGGGAGGTTCAAGAACTGTAATTATTCTGGACAAAGAAAATGAAAATAGACTGTGCTTACAGATTATCTTCTGCCATACTCTTTTCTTTAGGACCACTGTTTTATTGTTGTCCTTTCTATTACATGGGATGTACATATTATCAGGTGTTAATAAAAGGTCAGTGCCTGTACAATACATTCTACAACTGAGCACCACTTTCCGTAACTGAACAGGCAAAGAGAAATTACACTGAACATCAGCATGTGGCAGTATTTTTCCAAAAAAAGTGACTAAAATGGGTTTAAATTGATTAACACTATTAAATCACATCTAATATTTGATACTACATGATTTCATTACAGCTATACGATACAATTATACAAAAATGTGTTAACATCAAAGAATACAACCAAAATTAAGATAGCAAACAAAACCTATATAACTTTTTTCTTTACAGGAAAATACTTTTGAAGTATGCATGTAACTGCCCATTCTTTTAAAGAAAATCTACTGCAAGCAAAGTTATCAACCTCCAGAAAAATCACACATAGCATTACTAAGCATATCCCCAAAAAGTGTACAATATGCACACTTGGAAAATACAAAATTAAAAAAATTGTAAGCAACAGGTGAGCTTCATATTTATAAGAATGTGAAAAGAAGTCCAATTTTAGCACTGTTGTATAAAGAATTGTCTCTTTTTGATGCAAGTTCATGTACTGTCCCCTCCTGTTGGGAGCACACTTTACAAAACACCGTGTTCTTGAAACTGGATTACAGAGCAAGGTAGAGCATCTTAGCAACGTCATCTTAAAAGTTTTTATTTATTTTATTTACTACTTTATCAAAACGTGTCCTTTAGGTGGGTAGGGTTCTTTTTTTTTTTTAAATTCTTTCCTAGAAACAATATACAAAGGGGAGCCATATTTATTCCCATACTCCTGTAAGATGCTTTGAGAGTTCAAGAGCTTTCTTCTCGCTTACTTTCACTGGTTGTTTTTGGCCTTAGCATGTGTTAAGATGTGAGATTTCAGGTTAGTTGATTGAGCGAACTTCTTATTACATCCGTCAAACGGGCACACATAGGGCCTGTCGCCAGTGTGAATTCGCACATGCGTGCGTAAATTGAAGTCCAGTGAAAATCGCTTTCCACATCCTTCAAACGTACACTGTTGAAAAGAAAGGTGATAGCTTAAAAACAGTCTCAACTGGAGCAACAGATACTTAAGTCAGCAAGATATTCTTGGTTGCATTACTGGATTCCCTTTACCAATATTAGGTCCCGATCCTGCAGTACATTTTCCCTGAAAACTCATAGCAGTATTAGACTACCTTTGCCTCAGACAACTCTGCCAGTCTTTCCATATATGCACATCATTCATTACATATCATCTAACATGATTTTTTTTTTAAGTGAAAGCCTAAGGAGAAAACAGATAACTGGTATTTTTTCCTCAAATTAGTTGCAATATACATAGTAGATTACTATGAATAATAATTCTGGATTCAACAAAACTTCAAGCTTGTAAAAGCCAAGCACTTACTCTACACACTCCTCCTTTGCATTCTTAAAAAGGAAATTTAGCTAAAATTAAGAGACTTAGCTGAAAATCAGAAGTAATACTATGCATTACAATACTATTAAACAACCAATAGTTGAGGTCAATTTGTTCACTTTAATTTTCCCTCAACCTTTCAGTCAGAACAAGCTACAGCTATAAGCACTGCATACCCATACATCCACCCTGAAACTGAAGCTAGTGCAGAGCTAGCTTATTTCGTGATGAATTGTGTTGATCATGACACCACACTTATTGATCTATATCAGCTGCATGCTTGTTTCTGGGAGAAGTTTTGAAGACGTTACAGCTAACACATGATGGTCTAAAAAGCTGAGGACTTCTCTATTCCCTATTAGGTCTTCCACCCATAACTGCAAACAGTGGCAGAATTGGAGCCTTCTTAGTTTAGCAAAGCAATGGAGATTAGGGATGTTAACAGGTAACTGGTTAACAGGTCACCCAGTAAGCAGCCTTAATAGGTGATGCTTACTGGTAACAATTAACCAGTACCCAGGGAACAACCTGCCACAGGTGGAGGACTGCCAGCTCCCAGCCTCTCTGACGGGCCCCATGTGGAGCCAGAAGCAGCTCCTGCTCACCACTGTTTAATTAGTTGACTAGTTAACTGATTAAACAGGATTTTAAATCTCTAAAGGAGATTGCTGGAAAGAGTCACATTAGAACTTGGTAACTCCCCTCTCACCTGTTCTAAAAAAGCAGCTAGACTCCATTCAACTGCAGAGGCTCTGAAAGACTCTGCCATATCCCCCTTGTTTTGGGGGAGAGATGGGCTACTGTTCAAATAAATATTTTATGAGTTGTTGCCAACTCAAAATAAAAGGGAGAAGTATAAAGCATGAGTCAGCTTCTCAACTGTCTTTAAATGAACACAGAGTAGTTAAAGCCTGGATCAGATTTTTCTTTTGGGGAGGGATAAGGAGCTACAAATAAAAGAAATTTATTAACAAAAAAATCTCCACAGCCACTGGAATATTCTTTCTAGAAAAAGCTTACTGATTTCAAGGCATCAAGTTCTATGAAAACTATAGATTATCAGAGTGATGCCTTTTGGCATTAATCTAATCAAGTCTCACTTCCTGTTCTGCTCAATGCTGTGTTAATTACACAGGAAGTTAAATTCATGTGTCCCATCTTCAGGTGAATACCCTAACCACTAAGCTAGAGAATCACTTAGAGATTAGTAATGCAGATAATGACTTGTGGACTTTATTCTTATAGCTACTAGGAACAATATTTTGTGACTATAAAAAAACCACGAAAAAACAAACAAAAAAATTGTAAGTTGAGGGTTTTGTAGTGAAAAAAAAAATCTCATTTTTAGAATATCACTGGTGTCTTGTGACAAATTAGTTTCTTGAAGAAACAAATGAAAAATAGATATCTTAACATGAATCACTTATTTCTACATGTTGTATAATTCAGAGTCTACAGTAATTTTTGAATGGTATTTATCATAGGAAGTAGGCTGGGGCCCTCTGGTGGCAAGAGTTCAAGAATCTCCTACATTAATTGTCAGCATCAGAGAATATTCAGTGGGTAGTTGATGGCTTTAATTTGTAAGCTAACACTCAGAACTTGAAAGTTAAGCATCTTAGTCAATAGTGCATCAAATAGAGCAAGAAAAATAAGTGTCTGCTGACACAGAGGACCAAGTGGAGACAAACGATTTTTCACCCCACAGGTAACTGTTTTAGCATCCCCACTGTAGATTTTAATGTATTCAGGCAATTTGGTTACAAATGTGTTCCAAAAACCACTCTAAAGAAAAATCCACACAATGAATAAATATATTGTTGTCTAGTTTTGTGATCTTGATCTGACAAGCTACATAGTATGATTCTGAGTAGTGAAAGACATTCAATCCATTTATGCATCCTAACGAGCATAACCTGAGGCCTTATTTACACTGGAAAAAAAGACATCACATTAAAAAAAAAAAGGAGGCAAAGAGTTCTCAAATACAATATTGAAAGACTACTAATTTCCAAAATATACCTTGAAACAGACAATCATGATTTTGCCTAAGTATGAACAATTAGTAACCAGAGAACTTATGCCTTGGACTAACTTCTCTAAGGATCTGAGCCAAAACCCTGTAAATTCAATGGAAAGGCTGCTATTAGTACCAATAGACTTTGGATCATGCCTTGATTTTGCATGTTGAGTCACCACATGCAATTTTATTTTGAGAAAAGGTGCTTCCTTGGAAGGGAAGTCAGCTAAGCACACAGTCTCTTGTAGTTTAATTTTTGTTTTTAAAAAAAGCAAACATCTGCATGTCTCAGAAGGGACCATACCTGAAAGGGCTTCTCTCCAGTATGAACTAGTTGATGTCGTTTTAGTTTGGAGCTCTCCACAAATGCCTTGCCACATTCTGCACATACGTGTACTCGAGGACCATGAGTATGCAGGTGCTTCCTCATAGCAGAGTTGTCCCTGAACATTTTTGTGCATCCCTTAAAGAGAATAATAATAAACTTAATCACTACACAAACAAGTTGATAAAATTTCTAGGGTTTTCATAGATGAAAGTTTAGTTACTACCCCCTTCTCCCTGAAAAAAAAAAATCTTAATAGAAGCTGGCCCTGGAAAGAAATATCCCCTCACAATGACACATTTTACTTTGACTTAGGTTAAAAATATAAAACACTTTACAGCAAAATCACCACAGCTTACTACTGACTATGAATATAAATTTAAGAGGGGGGAGGGGGGAGAATTAAACTCCTCTACTCACCCATACAACATTAGTGTACTACATGTAGTCAAGTTTTATTAATAAAACACTGCATCTTCCCCATAAGATTATATCCTATTAACAGAAGCACAGGTGAATAAACTGAACAAAAATTCATGGTAGTCCAAGGGCTAGCAAAAGGTAAAATGATGGTAGTCCACCGCTACCTTTGGTGGGCCCCATATTCTTTGGTGCAAGTGTTGTCTGTCTCTGTCCATCTCCTACTGTCCCTCTTTCTTCTTTCTTTGTCTGTTTCCCGTTCCTGACAGAGAAAGAAGCAAGAGGGTCTCCAAGGCACAGCAGCTACAGAAGAATGCACTGAGAGCAAAATGAATCTGACAAATTGACTAGAATTACAAAGGTAACAGCTGTATGGTTTCTAGGAAGCGGGAAGGAGGATCTGGTCCTGGTGGGTCATGAAGCCTGACTTGTGGGGCCAAAAACTTCGATCCTACATGCCATCACCTGTCATCCCCTCACCCAAAGGCCACAATCTGGTAGCTACATCATAGGAAAGCAGAATACAGATCTCACTCCTGAGTCTCTGACCTCCATGTAAAGTGAGCCCACCCCCCACTTCTTGAATCTGCAGATTTCACTTATTTTTTGAATACTGCATTTGCAGACAGACTCAAGACAAGATTAGTCCTACTTAGTCATAACAGATCTTGCCTGAGCTATCCTCTTCTGCGCACTCCCAATCTACTGATTTCCCATGCCGAGATTTGGAAAATTATGGTCCATTTTTACAGAATCCTACTTTCCCAGGTATTCTACTTTATCAATATTCATGCTACCTTTAAAATCCCCATCTCTTTCACCACACATTTCTTCTATCCCCTTTCTTACAATCAATTGTGCTCTTATTTCTTCTTAGTTGGTCTGTTTCTGCCATCCTCTCTCTAAGCATCCTTTTTAATAAGTGTTTTTCCAACAGTCCTGCAAACTATAAATACAACTAAACACCAACCAATACCTAGATGAGGGACAGAAGTTAATTACTTATTAATGTTACCCCCTAATTTTTATGTAATGCTTTCATCAGACCCTAGAAGGACTAACCAAAAGTGGTAAATATAAATACCCATTTTACAGTGGGGAACTTGATGCACGGAGGATGACACCCAAAGTCACCTAGCAAATCAGAGACATCTAGGAGTTCAGCCAGTGTCTCTTGAATCCCATGTACTAGTGGACAGAGACTCTTATCTACATATTGTAAGGCAGCCACACCCTCCCGTATACTGGTAAGCAAGCCTAACTTTGTAATCATCTCTTTACAAAACTAGTCTACAAAAGGAAGATGACTAGCTACAATGTTAGTAAGAAGCTTCATATTTTATACATATGCCATTATATAAAACAAGCTAACTATATTATGAAAAAGGTCCCTTAATGTCTTTTTGGCCAGCTACCATGAAAATGAATGGACTCTCAGAATCAAAGCATAAATACAGAATCCTGCTGTTCCCAGCACTTGAACTGCAGGGGCAAGCAGATTGCAACAGCCACATTTAGGGTACATCTAGATTACACGCTTCTTTCAAAAGATTCTTTTGAAAAAGCTTCTTTCAAAAGATTTTCGAAAGATCATCTAGACAGCCACAACTTTTTTTGAAAAAGCGATCCGCCATCTGGATGCTCTCTCTCAAAAAAAGCTCTGTTTGTGGTCAAGAACACCTTCTTTCAAAGAGCTCTTTTGAAAAAAGTTCTTCCTTGTAAAATGAGGCTTACCATTAGTCTAGATGCTCTTTTTCAAAGAGGCTTTTTCGAAAGATACTTTCAAAAAAGCCTCTTTCGAAAGAGGCTTGCAGTCTAGACATCGCTATAGAAATGTGTCCATGCAGGGCCCTAAATAAGTAAGTATTACTTTTACTGCATATCTGCTGGATGTTTGTTAACTTATAGGACATTTATTCGGTGCAATCCTAGTATTTATCCATTGCAATCCTAATACTGAGTATTTTAATGTATTTATAAGGCTACTTAATTGTCAATGTATCAAACAATTTTGATTAAAAAACCATATCAGATTATTGGGGGGAGGGGGGGAAGAAATCAGAACAAATCCAAAAATCCACAGTGAAACTACAGGTCGAACCTCCCTTGTCCAGCACCTTCAGGATGTGAATGGCTCCGAGCCAGAGTTTGCTGGGCAACGGGAGCTCAAGGCTCCCTACCAAGGTGTAGGGCTGCGCTCCTTGCTGTTGCCAGCCTTTCTGGGGATGAACTTCTGAGGTTCAACCTGTATTTCACAGGGCCCTAAATATCAACAGGATGAGTTTCTCCAGCATAAGAGTTGAGGCAATGGATTTGTGGGATCAAAACAGAATTTCATGGGAAAGATAGACACCCTTACAAATTCAACCCACCTAAGTTAACTTAGCTACCAGGGCTTTCCTTGTGAACAAAGATAAGATGGGAATACACATGAACTCACTTGTCAATGGATCTCTTAAGGCATGAAACATTTTCATAGTGCCTTGTTTTGTTAATGGATTTCAGACCCCATATAAATTTTGAGTGTACATGAAAATAAACCACAACTGCATGAGAAGTACAAGCTCAAAAAACAGCAAATGATTTAGAGATCCACCTTTCAATCTGCAGGCTTCACTCTTTGGAAGCTACTTCCATCAACCTGGCAATAATTTTATCTGAACACATCTGAAGTTCAGAAAAGCCAAGGAGCCACCACATCTAAATAGAGTTTTCCCCAAGAGCTTTACAATCCTTTTGATTAACAGGCTTTCAGATTTCCATGTATTTATTCAAAAGCTGAACTTCACAAATGAGCAACATAAAAAAAAAAAAAAACACAACATACTGGAAGGGGAAATTATATTGTTTTTAAAAATCCTAACTATTCCGTGCAGAGAAGAAACAAAGACTTGAGAGGTTTGGGGTTTTTTTTGGTTACGCAGATGTAACCAAGTTGCCCTAAGAGCTACTCCTACATTGATAAAGGAACTTTTTTGGGAGAGGAAGTGGAAGAGAAGCAGTAAATACTACTTTTGTTCTCCCACTTGACAACACAACATTAGAAACAGAATTAAAGCAGAGAAATAAGAGCAAGATTAAATCAAAGTTGCGAAGAATAATTCCTTGAGAGAAGAATAATTTAACTCCAGGTCTCCAATTTTAAGGAAAGGTGAACTTGCATCCTGAAACCATGAGAGTAAAAGTCACCATCTAAATGCTAAACAGGAGGTCAATGCTCCCAGAGTGGACACTTTGGCTCAAGCCTAGTATGGAACAACATCTTCTCTACAAGTTACTTATCTGCAATGAACACTATTAAATATCTACCCAGACAAGCATTATTGGTATGTAGGTAGTGTGAGCCTAAGTCCCATAACTTGTAATGACTTCATAATCAAGGCTGGGTACATCTAGATCTCAGAATATCTTGGACCATTTAAGAAGAAGTTCACCCCATCAAATAAGTATTCTAAGTTACTATGGACCAGGCATTACGACAACAGCATATAGTAGCTATAGAGACATTTTTACAGAAGTGCTAACCTTAAGGAGAAGGGATATGAATGCCCTCCTTTAAGTAGTGGCCACAGAAAGGTCTGAGAATTAAGTAGTCCAGAGCAGTGACTCATTCTGGGTTAATCTGTACCTCTGAGGCTACTCAGGTTTTTTAGGGGATGCAAAGTCAGCTAGACATTTGCCTAGTTTTACAACAGACTACATGAGAAACACTACTGAAGTCAATACAAACTACAATTTCACAAACAATGTTAATATTGCTTTGTATAATATACAATAAAAGTACAATATTAATATTCAAATTGATGGTAAAAATAAGCAAGCAGTCAGTTAAGTGTGCTATGATACTTGCATGTGTGTGTCTGATTTTCTAAGTTTTGAGTGAACTGAAATTTGGGGTAACCCAAGACAAAAATCACTCTTGAAAGAAGTACTGTAGTCTGGAAAGACCGAGCGCCTAGACTCTAGGGCTTTGTCTACACTACATGCTTTGCCGAAAGAGGCAATACAAATCAAGTGCGGATTACCATTCTCATATTTCATTTGCATACACTTTAGTTCATTTTTGCACAAGGGGTTTGCAAAATCTTTATGCCTCGCATAAAGATCTTGCGCAAAAAGGGGTTTCTGCGCAAAAAGGAAATGTCCATACAGTTTGTTTTTGTGCAAAAAACAGAGCAAAAGAGCATGTAAATGAGGCATGAGAAAATGCTAATACACAATTTGCATTGCCTCTTTCGGCAAAGCATGTATAGCCGTAGCCTAGGTATATATCTACAATGCAGCTGGGAGATAGCCTGGATAGAGACTTGTGCTAGAAGGGCTCACACTAGCGTGCTAGAAATAGCTGTGTGGACACTGTGGCAGGCTCACACTAGCCAGACTACCTTGGAGCCAGGATGGGCTTGAGTTAGACCTGGGGTAATTCTGAATTCAATATTTTAAAATAATTCTGAAAACTGGGCAACACACACCACTTATATAATCATGCCAGTTTCAATTATTTTGGTATTTCAAAATGCCAGTCAGCAAAAATTCCCTTAGCAGTAGAGAGAGATGATTCTCCTCCCACAACCCAGTTCCCACGTCACTGCCCTTCCTTTCCTACAGCCCTGTGGGGAATAGGGAGAGACACACTCTCCTAGAGAATCCAGAGGGAGAAACAGCTTGATGATAGGTCCTAGACTTGCAAGAATTTCCTGCACACCACCACCACTTCCTTCTTTCAGTGTGCTAAGTGCAGCTATTGGGAATCCCCCTAGCTTTGTGCTGGGTCTTGTGGCCCCCTATCTGCAGCCCATTTCTGCAGAGACAAAAAAGGAAATTCTGCAGATGCAACATTAATTACTTCATAATTCTGCATTGCACAGCAGCAGAATTCCTCCAGTAATAGTTTGAGCTCAGGTGCCTAGCTTGAGCGTCTGTCACTGCCACTATGTCTGCACAGCTAGTTCTTGTACAAATCCACATACCTGAGCTGGGGAGTTACCACCCATGACCTTTACTGAATGAAGTTTTCCAGTGATCCTCCAAGTTAACAATATAATCGAACCAGATGAGATACAGCAAGACAGAAACTTAAAGAAGTATGCTTTGGGTTGAGTCTAAAGGATTAACGACGTACTTCATAGTGTCCAATGGAAAATTACATTACTAGGACAAAGAGCCCTGCCATCCTCCTATGACCTCCCTTACATGCAAATAAGGCTCCTTTTTGCATTACAAAATTCAGTTTGTTGGAAGAGTTGAAGAAATCTTTTAGCATCTAGAAAGCACCTAAAGAGGAGGTGACTGTATTTAAAGAAATAGGCCTCAATATTTAGCCTTAAGAGAAAGAATTAACCACACCAAATTCAGTTCCCCAAGGGACTGATCACTGAAATGCTTTAAGTTGTATCTTAAAGACAGACTTATCACTTACTTTGTGAGGACATGCTATCGTTCTTGGAGCATCATCTTCTTTAATTTTTCGTGGCTTCATTCTTATAAGACAAAAGGAGGAAAAAAGAGGATACTGTGAGTATAAAAGCAACTCTCTGAAAAACCTCTTGGCTTTAATATTTAAAAATCCTTCAAGTTACAAACACATCAACTGCACTTGGAATTTATTTATGTATTTTCCCCTCACTACAAAATTTAAAGATACAGTATTTTTGCATTTTCAAAAAAGCAGTTTAGTCCATACAAACCTTAAAATCTGATGATCTTCAGATGAACTCTGATACAGAACACTGTACATTTAAAAGTAGAACTGTCAGTTAACAAGCAACACAAAAGTAATTATATTTTAAAAGTCAATTAGTTTTAATCATGTTAACAAAAAAATTAAATTTATGAATATTTTAGATGTTTTCTACATTCAAAAATAACAACTTCAGTTACATTATAGAATAAAGTAACCGTGCTCATTTTATATTTTATCTTTTTACAATGCAAATATATGTAATAGTATTTTTCAATTAAAGTACTATAATCTCTGTAGTGAAAGTGCAACTTACAAATGTAGAATTTTCTTCCCCCTTCACATAACTCCACTCAAAAAACAAAATATAAAACTTTAGCATCTATTAAATCAATTCAGTCCTACTCCTTCAGCCAAACATTAATAGAAACAAGTTTATCTACATTTATGAGAGATAACACTGCCCACTTATTTACAAAGTAAAAACAGTTGAAGGTGAAAACAGGCCTTTGGCATGGCATTTTATCTATGCTGTAAATTGACATACATTAGCAAATGTAGAAAACATTCAAAATTTTCATAAATATAAACTGGTATTCTATTATTTTTTAACAATGCAATTGTGACTTTTTTAATCTTAAATGACTTGAAATATCTCAACAACAACAGCCCCAAGGTAAAGCTCCTTTGTAATCCTCTGAAAACAGAAAAGTGTCCTCCCTTACAGTAAATGTAGCTTCTTTTAAATGAATTATCTACATGTATTCTATTTGTGATACCCACAGAAGCTATTCACGCTGTCCCTGTACCCTAGATATCTGCCTATTCACCAATATAGAATCCCAAAGAAGTTCATATCTGAAAAGGGTACTGGATTATGGAATTCCTAGACACAATACATCTCAAAGAGCCGTCATTAAATGTTAAAATTAGCTCTTACATCGAAGTGATTTTTTTTTTTAACATTGCCACCAAAACAGTTGTTTGCTTGGAGACTGACAGTATGAATACTGCTTAAGCAAATGACAGATCAGTGCTACCAAAATGGTTATTCAATCTGGAAGTCTCTACCAAATAGTGTCTTGTAAATATATGGATTAAGATCCACACAGCAACTCTACGCATTTCAGAAGTGGCAATTATTTTTTGAAAGACGCAACAAGGACCACCCAAGTTCCTCAACCCCAATAGGGGATGTGTGTCTTCCAACACCAGAATCATCTTGTCAGGAGTGCCTTAGCTCTGTCGTTCTTTCCCCTAAGTGGATAGTCAGCTAATTTGGTACCAGAGATATCTTCTTTACTTGATAGATCAACTTAGTATTAGCTACCATTTCTTCTGGTATCTGATGGCACAAACAAGGAATTGTGTCACAGTTAACTGCATCCATCCATCAATATAACAGGGCATTTTATAACCAAATAGCACACAGTTCTTGAGCTCCATAGGAGCAGGAAGCCCCAACAGTAAAGATGCAAGTTAAACAGTCCATGACCACAACACATCCCACTAATGAAGGAGGATATCTTTTGGTTCAGATGATTATTCTAAAGGATTTGAGAGCACTAATCCTGAATGTCTAGGGAACACAGATCTGAGTTGCCTGGCTGCTAAGAAATGTGCCATTGCTCCAAAAACAGTGCCACACCACCTGTTGCCACTGTTCCTTAAAGGTGGTCTGAGGTGACCCACTATTTCAGAAAATAGTGAGTAGCTTTGAGATAAAGTGAAGTCAAGCGGTCTTGACAGTTGACTGCACACAGTAATACGATCAGGGCCTTGTCTTATGCCCAATTACTTAGGAAGCAAGCCCAACCAGGATTGGATAGTTGAAAATTAGAGATTTCTGGGTTGTACCATTGAGATACAGGACAGACTTGAGCACCAAGTCCAACTTATCACAATGACAACTGGAGCCTCAAGGTGCTTCACAGTATTAAGCAGGTGCAATCATTAGGGCACTGGTCAACTGGCTTTTTTAAGTCGTCTTGATGTGACAATTGGACAGAGCTGTTGAGCTTTATTGCCAAATACATAGGGTATGTCTCAAAAACAGCTGGCTGATGGAATAAGGGATCTTCCGGAAAAGGGCTTATTTTCCGCAAGATCCCGTCTAGACTGGCGCTTTTCTCCAGCAAAACCCCGAGCCGGAAAAAAGCGGCAGCCATGTTCATGCAAATGCCGCGGGGGATATTTAAATTCCCCGTGGAATCTGCAATTCTGAAGTGTCTCGTTAGCATCCCTTTTACGGAAAAGGGTGCCAGTGTAGACACAGCCGAGGCGCATAGATGAAAAAAACGGAGGAGCTAAAAGGAAAAAAAAGGAAGAAGATAGAGAGAGAACGTTATGACTAAGACTCAAGGCTGTGGCAACTTCCCACCCATTTTCCCCCTTTCTTTCTTCACATTTTACTTCCTCTTCCTTAGTTTCTTTTGCTGTTTCTAAATAGTTCAGCCACATAACAGTCCTCAGGAAAAAAAAAAGCCCAGCTTAAGCTACAGTTTCTAAATAAATATGCCCCTCCCCCCAGAAAAATAAGATACCACTGTCCATAAACAGCAAAATTACAGCTGCTGCTTACTTAGACTAGGTTCTAGTATCAGACAATCGTGGAATAGTCTCAGCCAAAAGGCAGAGATATGATAGCCCAACCCACGTCCCTTCCCATAGACCAGGAACAGCAAATTGCTGCCATAATGGTATCTGCCAGCTCATGGTTACAGAAGAGCACGGAAAAAAATTGCTAGGTTATTGAAAGGCACCTTTCATATTAATGCACCTACAGCTGGCTGTGGATCTGGAGATTAACTGTAGCCTCAGAACTTACTTCCCATGGATAATAAGCAGCATGTAATAAGGTGATTTCTGCAAAACAGTACTGTATTCTTCTATGAACATACAGAATGGAAGACACCAACAGCCCCTCTACATAACACTGTGTAGCCAGTTTTCCTATTTCCTCATGAATTTTGTACACAGAAACAAGAGAAAAACCTAATCTAATTATGACTAGATTGTTAAACCATAAAAACAGCGATGGGGGTAGACCATGTCACTTTCAAAATATTACTAGATGTGGGGATACTGTGAGGTGTGACACTGAGCAGATCAGGAGTGACTACAGGGCTCCGGGGGTACGGGTGAAGGAGTTTGGAGCGCAGGTAGTATTCTCTTCGATCCTTCCTGTCAAAGGTAGGGGCCCAGGCAGAGACAGGTGCATCCTGGAGGTGAATGCCTGGCTGTGAGGATGGTGTCACCAGGAAGGCTTTGGCTTCCTCGACCATGGGATGCTATTCCAGAAAGGGCTGCTAAGCAGGGATGGCGTCCACCTTACGAGGGGGAAGACCCTATTGGATACAGAATGGCTAACCTAGTGAGGAGGGCTTTAAACTAGGTTTGACGGGGACAGTTGAGCAAAGCCCACAGGTAAGTGGAGAACATAGAGACCTGGGAGATGGGACGGAATCTCCAATGACACTTGAATATAGGATAGGGGAGAGGGGAAGAAAATAAGTGAGAAACCAAAACCTTTCTTAAGTAAAAAGATACCTTAACACAACATAGTGTGTATAAATTTACTGCTTCCTTTTAAGAAACAGATTTTTAACAAGTGAAGACAGAGTATCACACTATTGGAATGTTTGTATGGAAGAGTACAGCTTGCTTAGGAAGGATAGATGGGGGAAAAGGGAGGAGGTGTTGCCTTATATATTAAAAATGAACACACTTGGAGTGAGGTGGAGATGGACATAGAAGACAGAAGTGTTGAGAGTCTCTGGGTTAGGCTAAAAGGGATTAAACACAAAGGTGATGTCATGCTAGGACTCTACTATAGGCCACCTACCCAGGTGGAAGAAGTGGATGAAGCTTTTTTTAAACAACTAACAAAATCATCCAAAGCCCAAGATTTGGTGGTGATGGAGGACTTCCACTATCCAGATATGTTGGGAAAATATGCTGGGCACAGACTATCCAATAAGTTCTTGGACTGCATTGGAGACAACTTTTTATTTCAGAAGGTTGAAAAAGCTGTTCTAGATTTGATCCTAACAAATAGGGAAGAAGAACTGGTTGAGAATTTGAAAGTGGAAGGCAGCTTGAGTGAAAGTGATCATGAAATCAGAGTTCACAATTCTAAGGAAGGGTAGAAGGGAGAACAGCAAAATAGAGACAATGGATTTCAGGAAGGCAGATTTTAGTAAGCTCAGAGAGCTGATGTGTAAGGTCCAATGGGAATCGAGACTGAGGGGAAAAACAACTGAGGAAAGTTGGCAGTTTTTCAAAGGGACATTGTTAAGGGCCCAAAAGCAAGCTATTCCGATGTGTCAGAAAGATAGAAAACATGGCAAAAGACCGCCTTGGCTTAACCACGAGATCTTGCATGATCTAAAAATAAAAAAGGAATCCTATGAAAAATGGAAAGTAGGACAAATTACAAAGGATGAATATAGGCAAACAGCACAGGAATGCAGGGGCAAGATTAGAAAGGCAAAGGCACAGAATGAGTGCGAACTAGCTACAGGAATAAAGGGAAACAAGACGACTTTTTATCAGTACATTAGAAGCAAGAGAAAAACCAAGGAGAAGGTAGGCCCACTGGTCAGTGAGCAGGGAGAAACAGTAACAGGAAACTTGGAAATGGCAGAGATGCTCAATGACTTCTTTGTTTCGGTCTTCGCCGAGAAGTCTGTAGGAATGCCTAATATAGTGAATGCTAGTGGGAAGGGGGTAATTTTAGAAGGTAAAATAAAAAAAAGTCAAAAATCACCTAGAAAAGTTAGATGCCTGCAAGTTACCAGGGCCTGATGAAACACATCCTAGAATTCTCAAGGAGCTGATAGAGGAGGTATCTGAGCCTCCAGCTATCATCTTTGGAAACTCATGAGAAACAGGAGAGATTCCAGAAGACTGGAAAAGGGCAAATATAGTGCCCATCTATAAAAAGGGAAATAAGAACAACTCAGGAAACTACAGACTAGTTAGTTTAACTTCTGTGCCAGGGAAGATAATGGAGCAAGTAATTAAGGAAATCATCTGTAAACACTTGGA